CATCCTGCAACCCGGTGAGAATACCCCATCCTAGTAAAAGAGAAAGATACAAAAAGATACCGGGCGAGCGGTGGTCGAGCAGTGCGTATCGCGCCCCAGCTTACTCAGGAAGGCTGAGCCAGGGAATGGCCGTAAACCCGGGAGGTGGAGGCTTGAGTGAGGCCCGAGAATCTCGGACCCACTGCACTCCAGCGCTGGGCGACTTAGCGAGACCTCCGTCTCAAAAAACAAAAAAAAAAAAAAAAGAAGGGTCGGAGGCTGGGGCCAGGTGGCAGTGGCAACACCCGAATTCCCAGGCCACCTCTGGGAGGTCGAGGGACGGATCACCGAGGTTCAGGAGATCGAGCCAATCCTGGATAACCCAGAACAACCATTTACTAGACAGTGCGTAGATAAAAAAAAAATTAGGCCCAGGCCTAGTGGCAGGGCCACCTGTAATCCCACGCTGACCGGGAGCGCGAGCAGGAGAACTGGCATGAACCCCGGAAGGCGGAGCTTGGCAGTGACTGAGATCGCGGGCGACGCCCGCGCCAAATACACCTCCAGCCTGGTGAGCAGAGCAAGAACTCTGTCTGCAAAAAAAAAAAAAAAAAAAAAAAAAAAAGGAAAGGAAAGGATCAGCTGGTTTGGTTGACCTAGGGAGTGTATTCGGTGACCTCAGTGAAGGGGGTTTCAGAGCGGCTAAGGGACAGATACCCAGTTGAATGGATTGTGGATTGTGGGAGAGGTAGAAGCATAAATACCACCCGCCTGCCACCACCACCTCTCAGGAGACTGGCTGGAAGCGGAAGGGGGGGGTCAGTTAGGACAGTAGCTGAGAAGGAATAGTGATCAAGGGAGAAGGGCTTTTTCTTTTAATGGAATAGCATCAGCAAATGTGTTTAGATTGTGATGACAGGAGCCAGAAAAAAGGAAAAGGAGAATATTGAGGTGAGGAAAGAGAACCCAAAATCCGCAGGTGAAGAAGACCAGATGAAAGTCATAGGAGCAAGGCTAGCTCGGAGACAGCGAGCCGCAGCTACCCCTTTCCTCCCCTGGAAGGACGGAACATGGCCCCTGAGCCCAACCGGATGACGTGAAGGCGCGTTTGGTGGCAGAAAAAAGTTGAAGGAAATGCCCATTGATTGTGGGTCCCGATGTACCTGCGATGCGTGAGGAAAGACAGGACGGCATTAGAAGGTTTTAAGACGAGAATCAAAGGGAACGGGGCCACTGTGACTCACTTACACTTTAGGAGGGCAAGGCAGGAGGATTGGTGGAGCCCAGGAGTTCAAGACCAGCCTGGGCAACATAGTGAGACCCTGTCTCTACAAAAAATAATTAAAAAGTAGCTGGGCGTGGTGGCGCATGCCTGTGGTCCCAGCTACTCAGGAAGCTGAAGTGAGAGGATCACTTGAGTGTGGGATGTTGAGGCTGCAGTGAGCAGTGATCACTCCACTGCACTCCAGCCTGAGTGACACAGCAAGACTCTGTCTTAAAAAAAAAAAAAAAAAAAAAAAAGTGCTGGCCTCGGTGGGCTTCACGCTGTAAATCCAGCACTTTGGGAGAGCCAAACAGTGTTGATCCACCTAAGGGTGCGCGAGAGTGTTGAGACAGCCCTGGCAACATAGTGAAACCCCGTCTCTGAATAAAAAAAAATACCTGTAAACCCGCGAGGAGTGGATGTTGCAGCTGAGCCCGAGATTGGCGCTCAGTAGACTCCACCCTCCGCGACCACGACGAGCTCATCCAAAAAAAAAAAAAAAAAAAAAAAAAAATCCTCAATAGTCACCTGTAGTCAACCCTTCCTCCTACTCCCACACCCTGGCAATCAGTGAACAGTTTCCTGTTCCTGTAGTTTTGCTTTTGCAAGATTGTCATATAAATGGAAGATTGTCATATAAATGGAAATGTATGGTAGCCTTTTCAGTCTGGTTTATTTTACTTAGCACAAAGCATTTGAGATTCATCTAGTCATGTGTATCAGTAGTTTGTTCTGTTTATTGTTGAGTGGTGGTCCATTGTTTGGATGTGCCAGAACATTTGGGCTGTTTCTGGTTTGGGGCATAAAATCACTATTAATATTCATGTACACAAATCACTATTAATATTCATGTACAAGTTTTGTGTGAACATAGATTTTCCTTACACTTGAATAAAGAGCTAGCAGTGGAATTTTTGGGTCATATAGTAAGTTTAATTTTGTAAGAAAATCAAACTTTTTCAAAGTGGCTGTCTCATCAGCAATAACCAAGAGGTTCCAGTTGTTCTACCTCCTCTCCAGCATTTGTTATTTTTGAAAGCCATTCTAAAAGGCATATTTCGATTTTTATTAGATCAGTATCGAAGATTTATGTTATTAAACTATGTAAACAGGCCAGGCGTGAGAGTTCACGCCTATAATCTCTGCACTTTGAGAGGCCAAGGCAGGAGGATCACTTGAGCTCAGAAGTTCCAGACCAGCCTGGTCAGCATAGTGTGACTCTGTACCAAAAAAAAAAAAAAAAAATTGGAAAAATACAGTGGCTCATGCCTGTAATCCTAGCTACTTGAGAGGTCAACGTGGGAGGATCGCTTTAGTCCAGGAGTTTGAGACCAGCCTGGACAACATTGGGAGACACTGTCTATTAAAAAAAATTAGCTGGGTGTGGTGGTGCCCTGTGATCCCAGCTACTAAGGAAGCTGAGGTGGGAGAGTCACTTACTTGAGCACAGGATGTGGAGGCTGCAGTGAAACATGATCATGCCACTACACTCCAGCCTGGGTGACAGAGCAAGACTCCATCTCAAAAAAACTCCAATCTGTGCAACAGAGCAAGACTTTCTCAAAACAAAAAATGTAGACAGTAGTCCCGGTTAAGTCATGATTTTGGTTTTTCTTTTCTTTCTTTAGTTTTCTGTGCATCTATTATATAATTAATTCATTCAGATTTTCTGCCAAAAATAGAAATCTCTTTTGCAATACATTTAGACAGATCAGGTCATTTGTCCATATGATCGTTTTCATGGAGACATATCTCAGGAGCCCTCCATCTCCCTGATTCCATCTGGATGGGGCACCCTGGAGGTCTGCTGCCTAGCTGTCCTCCTGAGCTCCCCATTCACCCTTATGCTCAGGGGCTCTCCCTGCCTGTTGTGCTGGGTCCCATGTTATCTTCTTTTCCGTTTCTCCTTTTAGTAAAGTACAACCTCCAGTTGCTTCCTGAGGGGTAGTCTTGAGACATGTATCTGAAAAGATCTCAATTCATACTTGCATAGCATTTGGCTAGGTATAGAATTCTAGATTGGAAATATTTTCTCTCAGATTTTGAAGGTCTTCATTATCTTATAGCTTCAAAGGTTGGTGTTGAGAAGTCTGATGAATGTTGAATTCCTAAAGCTCAGACTTTTTTGTTTGTATCTCTGGAAGTTTTTAGGTTCCGCTCTGTCCTCGGTGCTGTGAAATTTCTTGACAACAAAATCAAGGGCGAGTCCCCTTTATTCATTGTCCTGAACACTTGATGTTTCCTTCTCTACTGGAAACTCATGTTCTTCGTCTCTGAGAACTTGTCTTGACAAAAAAGAAATGTATGTATTTGACATCTCTCCCTGCCTTCTAGTCTGTTGTCTCTGCTGCCTCTTTCAGAAACATCTAAACAATTTAGCTGTTGGAGCTCCTGACCTCTTCCCTGTTCTTTCTGGAAAATATTTTTTTCAAGTTTAGCTTGTATACTTTGATTAGATTTTGCATTCCTATTATTATGTTATTTTTATTTTAAGGCAAGGTCTCTTTCTGTTGCCCAGGCTGGAGTGCAGTGGTAGGATCATAGTTCACTGCAGCCTTGTTCCCAGACTCAAGTGATCCTCCTGCCTCAACCTCCCAAGCAGCTGAAACTACAGGTGTGTGCCACCACACCCAGCTAGTATTTCAATTTTTTGTGCAGACAGGGTCTTAGGTGGCCCAGACTGATGTTGAACTCCTAGGCTCAAACAGTCCTCCTGCCTTAGCCTACCAAAATGCTGGGATTACAGGCATGAGCTGCGGCACCTAGACTATATTTTTGTCAAGAATTAGTGGTGGTGGGTGTTTGAACATTTTTATTTTAGAGCCTCCTATTCTTATTTCATGAATGGAAAGTTTTATCTTTCTAAAGATATCAATTATAGATTTTTTTAAAAAGACAGTTTCACTCTTGTTGACCAGGCTGGAGTGCAATGGCGTGATCTCACCTCACTGCAACCTCCAATTCCCAGGTTCAAGCAATTCTCCTGCCTTAGCCTCCCAAGTAGCTGGGATTACAGATGCCCGCCACCACGACCAGCTAATTTTTTGTACTTTTGGTAGAGACGGGGTTTTCACCATGTTGGCTGGGCTGGTCTTGAACGCCTGACCTCAGGGGATCCACACGCCTCCGCCTCGCAAAGTGCTGGGATTACAGGCATGAGCCACTGTGGCTGGTTCAATTATAGATTTTTTAGGTTGAGGTGTTGACAGATCTCACCTCAGCCTTTTCTCTCTCCTTGTCATGCAGCCCATAGGGGAGACTGTCAGGCCAGTGTGGGGACTAATGAATAAATGCTACACTGTGCCCACTCAGGTGGGTAAGGGCTGGCACTCCTCTACCCCTGGAGTGCGGTGGCTATGCTGGCCCCCTTGGCAGACACAGTAAGGGGGACTGCACCTGGAGAGGATGGGCCAGTCAGGGAAGGACTGCTCGCCACTCATAGCTGTGTGTCACCCCTCCCACCTCCCTCTGTGGAGACGCAAAGTCAAGAGTAGGAAGAAGACAGCCTCTGAGGTAAGGCTTCCCCTGGAAGGCTCAGGGCTGGGGCTGTCTCCTATCAGAGCTCAGTTAGACCCAGACACATGGCAGGGAGTCCCGGGGGTAGTGGCGGGCCCCCTCCAGGAAACTCACAAGGTTACCACAGCTCAACTGAAAAGGAAGAACTTCACAGGACTGCGACACCCCAGTGTGAGAACGGGAGGATGAGGTGCTCTGAAGGCCTTTCTGCCCACAGTCTGCCCTCTTATTCCTCCTGCAGGTCATGATCCCCAGGGGACCTGGAGGACTGAATGATGCTGCCCCCGAGGAGGCTGCTGTCTTGTCTTAGGAGGGAGAGCAGGTGAAGTCCCTATGGGAGGAAGCACCTAGCCCCATTTCTGCTGAGCAAGAAGAGGTGGCAGGGACCCCAGACTGGGAGGTAAGGACAGCCCGGGGCTTCAACTGGAATGTCTCCAGCATGGGTCCGACTGAGCAGCCACGGAGCACTGCAGAGTGGGAGGCAGCAGGGCAGGGAGGCAGTACTGGAGGCTGGCTCAACCTGAAGACCAGCAGGCCAAGCTGTGTCCCAGGGGAGTGAAGACATCTGTGCAGAGCTGAGAGGCAGCAGCCATGTGTGAACAGACTGGGCCTCATCCTGGCCCCACCGACTTCTTGCAGACAGAGCCTGTTTCCCTGTCTGTGTAACACAGAACCTGCCTGATCTCACTGCTGGGTTCCTCTTCCTCCTGCCAGGAAAATAAAAAGGTTCAAAAGGAAATTGCTGGGTATCCATCTGGTAAGACCACTGGCCCAGCGTGCGGCAGGGGGCTGCTTCCACCCTACTTCTCAGCGACTGCTAGGGTCTCACACACCCCAGCCCTTTCCCGCCTTCCTGAGCTGTGGAGGGGAGGGAAGCAGCCCAGGAGTCAGGTACCTGGACCTTCCTAGGAGCCTCCTTGGGTGGGCAGGAACTCCGGGCCACTCCCCTGAGCTGGCTGCATCCCTACCTTTCACCACAGCTGACCTGGCCCCTGGGCATCACAGAGGGAGGTTTGCTCCCAGCAGGGGACTCAAAAGGCTGCCAGTTTCTACTTTGCAGAGGCCTCTGAGGACAGCAAAGAGCATAAGGCCCTGGGACTGGTTCCCCGTGCTCATGACAGAGCTCTGCCTGGACTGGCTCTCAGCTTCCAACACCCTCAAGACTCAGAACTGTGAAGAAAAAGTTTCCAATAATTCCAAGAGTTGTTGCTGCTGCTATAGGCCCTGCTGCTGCCTTTTGGGGCCTCCGTCTTCAGAGAAACCCAGTGTGGCTTCATCCACATTCCCTGTCCCCACAGCTGCAGGAACAGCACTTCCTGCCACCGAGCCACGTCACCACAATGGATTGTCTCTGGAAGGGACAAGGGGGCCCTGGCCGGCCTTCCGACTGACTCGGTGCCAGGGGATGGACCAACGTCCCTCTTGTGCTGACAGCCGGGCTGCACCCTGGCAAGAGGGCATTTACAGAAATGCTGGCGGGAACCGCTGCCAGGGATGCTGTAGGGTCCTCTGGCAAAAGAGGTCTCAGGTGGCTTCTCAGAGTGTCTGTGGTTCTCTATCCCAGGCTGTTCCCTAAGAGGGTCTGCCCAGGACTCAGGTAAGCAGATGCTCATTAGAAACTCTTGGGCACTGCCTGTGTGCCCAGCCCAGCCCATTGTGTCGGTGAGGACAGACATAGAGGACAGCGGCCCCTGCCTTTGGTGGGCTCCAGGCCAGCAAGGGCTACAGCCCCAGAAGGCAGAGCAGGAAGACAGGACTCGGGGCAGCTGAAGCAGCCTTCTCATTGGCAGAAGGGAAACAGAAGCCCAGGGTCACTTGGGGTAATGGCAGAGCCAGGACTAGGGTCAGGGTCAGGGTCTCTGGCTCTCAGCTTGTCCATGCCACCACTTCCTCCTCTGCCCGCCCCAGTGCCTCATAGGCCCAAGGTTGACTCCTGTCCCTAGGGCAGGCCTGTGGCCCACAGGGCTCATGCATGGCCCCTGGCCAAGCCTGTGGGCCCTGCCTGACCCCCTACCGGGAGGATGGCACCTAGGGTTGGAGCCCAGCAAGTGTTCTCCAGCTCCAGCCTGGCCCTGAGGGCAAACTCGCCACTGGTCAGGGGTCTGGACAGGAGCATGTCTGAGGACCCAGAGAGGTGGCCAGTCGTGTGGTGAGGTGACAGAGGCTGAGGGCGGTGGCTTAGTCCTGGGCTTCCATGGGGCCTTGGGGCCTTCCCAGGGAACGTTCTGGCACCTGCTGACTGAGCTCTGGGAGGTAGCCCTGGCATCTAGGTCCCTGATGCCATGATTTGTCTTCCTTTTTGGAGTGTCATATATGAAAGGAGGTAACTGTTGTGATGGTGCTGGCGGGACCGCTGCCCCTGATGGGGGGTGGGCTGAGTTAGGCCTGAAATGTGGGCCTCCAGGCTGAGTCCTGCCCTCTCCACCACACTCAGGGCTGACACCTCTAGTCAGCCCATTCTGGCTCCTTCCCCCAGATGCCAGAACAATGTAGTTCTTGTCACCAATCTGGGCAGAGTTGGGTCAGTGGGGGACATGGGATTATGGGCAAGGCTAGCTGACATCTGCTTAACCTCAATATACCCGTCTCAAACGCGGCCAGGTGGTGGGGTAAGCAGGAATGAGGCAGGGGTGGGACTGCCCTGGGGAGGACGTTCCCAACCAGGGCCTGGGCAGGGGACCCAAGTTGGAACTACCACATTGCTTTATTGTACATCAGGGCCCCTGGCTAGGGAGCAGGCTGGGGACTAGGTACCCCATTCTAGCGGGGCACAGCACAAAGCTCATAGGGGGATGGGGTCACCAGGAAAGCAAAGACACCATGGTGGCTGGGCCGGGGCTGTCCGGCGGGCACCGAGAAGCTGAAGCGCTGCAGCAGGCAGGTGAAGAAGAGGAAGAGCTCCATGCGGGCCAGGGGCTCCCCGAGGCATGCACGGCGGCCTGTGGGGAGGGGAGGGGAGGGGTGTCAGTGAGCCTGCCTCCCAGGCAGGACCCCTGCAAGATTCCACAGAAGGGGACAGGGAGCCGGGCTCCCCACAGGCACCTGCTGAGAAAGGCAGGAAGGCCTCTGGCTTCACAAAGTGGCCCTGAGCATCCAGAAAGTGTTCGGGGTGGAAGCGGAAGGGCTTCTCCCAGACGGCCTCATCCTTCAGCACCGATGACAGGTTGGTGAAGAGCGTCGTCCCCTGGGAAGGAGATGCAGGGTGAGAGTGGGGACTGGGCTCTAGGATGGTGGGACCCCTGCCACCAAACGCACGGGAGACACATACTGCCTGGCACACAGCTGGACTCTGTCAACTAGTCCAGCACCCAAGAAGCTCCTGAGCACCCTCTCTGACCCCATGGCAGGGCGCAGTCACACCTCTCAGGGGCACCCACGCTGCTCCCTCTCCCTACAGGCATTGGGCCATCCGACATTCTGGCAGGTCCTGATCTGTCTACCCCACTAGACTGGGGTTCTGTATGGACAGGCTAGCCCTGCCTCTACTCTGGACCCCACAACCAAGCTGGGACAGTTGATGTGATGGCATTGAGGACTGGGTGGCCAGGGTTCCTAGACTGGGCCCACCTGGTAGTGGCCATGCTGGGGGTACCACCAGGGGCTGGTGTTGAGCTGGGGTGAGGAGGGCTCCAGGCCTACCTTAGGGATGAGGAAGCCCTGCACTTCGATGTCACGGGATGTCATATGGGTCACACCCAGGGGGACGATGTCCCCAAAGCGCTGCACCTCGTGAATCACGGCAGTGGTGTAGGGCATGCGAGCCTGGTCACGCATCTCTGGTCGCCGCACCTGCCCTATCACGTCGTCGATCTCCTGTTGGACACGGCCTGGACAGACATGTGTCCCCACAATGGGTCAGCACCTAGGGGGTGGCCCTGACACTTTGCCTCCTGTGTTGGAGGAGGTCAGGCTTACAGGAGACTGGTCAAGCCTGTGCTGGGAGCCCTGGGTGTCCTAGCTAAGCTCAGGGGCTCCCGCCTGTACCCTTCCTCCCTTGCCCCCTGCACTTGGCCCCAGCTGGACTCACGCTGCACATCCGGGTGCAGGATCATGAGCAGGAGGCCCCAGGCCAGCGTGGTCGAGGTGGTCACCATCCCAGCAAAGAACAGGTCAGCCACCACCATGCGCAGGTTCTCTTCATTGAAGCTGCTCTCGGGGTTCCTCTTGGCCTGAGCAGGGCCGAGAGGGTACTCGGGGACAGAGCGGGAAAGCCCCCAAACGTCCTCCCATTCTGCACCTGTCAGCCCAGGTGCCACTCACCAGGTAATCCAGCGGCCCCACCTTTTGCCTGGCCACTCCTCATTCCTCCCAGGAGCTCAACCCACCACCCTTGGTCCCCACCATGGCAGCCGCTCTCACCTTCTCCATCTCTGCCAGGAAGGCGTCAGTCAGGTCTCGGGGTGGCTGGGCTGGGTCCCAGGTCATCCTGTGCTCGGTCAGCAGCTCATCTAGCTGGGTCAGGAAAGCCTTTTGGGAGCGTAGGACCTTGCCAGCCAGCGCTGGGATGCGCAGGAGGAGGGGGATGGCATTCAGCACCTACACCAGACACAGAACAGGGTCTCAATCTCTCCTGTGCTCTGTGTTCACCTGGACCAGTCTCAGGCCCCAGCTGTCTCCAGGGAAGACCCAGGGCCTGCCTGTCTTTACCACTGACCTCTCCAAGTGCCAGCCTCCACCCTCTCTCCTTGCCATGGGCTGCCAGAAGAGAAACCCAAAATCGAAATCTCCACCATGGACAGGGGGCACAGTCCTTGGCCTTTCTTGGTGCCCCCTGACCCAGGCATACCTCTCCCCTCACGGTGTCTGAGATATCTCCTCCTCCTCCAGGCCCTTCCTCTAGCAGTGAGCTCTCCTGGAATGTCCTTTCCCAAACCCTTCTATGCAAACCCACACCTCTGAGGCCCTGCTGCAGCCCGGGCACCTCTCAGGAGCTCGCCCTGCAGAGACCCTGCGGTCCCTCGCTCCGCACCTCACGCAGGAAGCCCGACTCCTCCTTCAATCCCTCCTGTGCTAGGTCCAGCAGCCTGAGAAAGCGAGGGTCGTCGTACTCAAAGCGGCACCCGCAGGTGAGGGAGGCAATTACGTTGCTCGCCGCTTTGTACAGGAGGCCATTGGGGCGAAAGGGGCATCCTGGGGGCGGGAGATGCGGGTCAGGGGTCGCTTTCCCGTCCCCCACCTTCCCAGTTCCCGCCTTGTGCCCCTCTGCCCATCACCCACCGGCTTGGTCGGTGAAGGCGGCACAGAGGCAGGCGGCCTCCTCGGTCACCCATTGCTCCAGCGACTTCTTGCCCAGGCCCAAGTTGCGCAAGGTAGACACGGAGAAGCGCCTCTGCTCGCGCCACGCGGGCCCATAGCGCGCCAGGAACACCCCTGGGGGCAGGACAGGCAGGTGCGAGTGGCCATGAAGCTCTTGGCCCCACCCTCTGCCACCCACTCCAACCCAGCGCTACCCAAGGTCTCCAGCAGCCCCTCGCCTGGTCCAGCTGGGCACAGGGCCCACTCTGCTTACCTGCCTTGCTTCCCTGGCTGGGGCAGATTTTTGCCCCACCTCTTCTCTGCCCACCCTGACCGCCTTTCCACTCAGGGAAGATCCCGCATGCCACGCCCCACCTACACTGAGCCCACGCGCAGGCGCTGACGCCGTCCCCCTCTTCGACACCTGATTCCAGCTGGGAAAGGCGCCATCCTCACCCACCCGGCTCCTGGCGGGTCTGGGCAGCGGCCCCGCCCACTCGTCACAAGCCCCGACCTCATCCCCAGGCTCACACCTCCCCAGTGCAGGTGGTTTCCTGGCCCGCTGTCCCCACTGGCTGGCCTTTCTGGTTCACATCCACGACCCCGCGCCCTCTCTGCCCAGCTCGGACTTCGGTCACCACTCACCCAGGGCCCACGGAAATGAGGTCTCTGTGCCCACCGCCACTTGCCTTGGGAGCGCGGCCCAAAACCCAGGACCTGGTTGACGGGCACAGGCGGGCGGTCGGCTGTGTCCTCGCCGTAGGTCACCAGCGCCTCGCGCACGGCCGCCAGCCCATTGAGCACGACCACCGGCGTCCAGGCCAGCTGCAGGCTGAACACGTCCCCGAAGCGGCGCCGCAACTGCAGAGGGAGGGTCAGGGCCTCCGTCAAGCCAGGGTTCCCCCAGACTGCAAGTCCTAGTCCTATTTGAGCCTTGGGCGACCCCCGGGGCTACCAGGAGTGAGCAGGTGGAAGGAGGAGACCTGGCCTCATGATCCTGAGGTGGGGGTGGGGTTCACACCTTCTATGATGGAGGAACTCAGTTTGGCTGCATCACCCGGCTATGACCTTATAAGGGTCACCAAAATTGCTGATAGACCCCAGTTAGCATCCCATTTTACAGATGATGGTCCATGCCAGTGAGCAGTGAGGCCTGAGGACCCACAGTGCAAAAGGTTTGAACCAGGTCACTGCACATCCTTCATTGATTTCCTGATTTAAACGGCACTCAGGACCCTGACTTGTCTTCCATTCGTAAGTCCTTTCCTTCTGCTGTCAGCAGAAGGGACTTTGTGCTCCATAAC